GGAATTTTTATTAAAATATTTTATTTACAAAGGTCTTTTTAATATTTATGATGTGATAACACATAAATCTTATATTTTAAAAATATGTTTTGAATACTTTTGGTGCTGGTAAGGTGGTTATGTAAAAAAAGGATTACTGAGCATTCTTGATAATAAAAGATTTCTTGGATTGCACACTCTCAAAGAAATAGAATCTCAGAATCTCACTAAGACCCTAAAAATCTCTTTTCTAAAACCCTTCCACTCCAAGCTAAAAGTAAATGAATTACAATAATCTTAAAAGAGTAGAAAACTAACAAGATGCTTCTGAGTTGTTCAGGCTTGTACTTTTTAGCTAATCTGATGTTATGACTAATAGGCTCCCCTCCTTGTGCGCTCTTTTCTTAGAATAACTTAGCCTTTTACCCTAGAGGTCTTGAAATGTCATGGACTAAACCTCAAGAAAATGAACAGACCCTCCTAAATTCTTCCAGAAGAACATCTTGCCAAGATGAAAGGAAAGTAGCTCCTTCTCACACCCTGATTGTCATCACCCTCCTGTTCCCATTTTTCTATAAAACCCCAGGACCCTTACCCCAAGACAGGCTCACAGTCTCTAAGGCATGGCCCTGCTGTGACCTCCTTTGTTTGGCAAAGCAACAAAGCTGTTCTTTCCTGATTCTCCCAAAACTCTGCCTCTGCCTCTCAATTCGGCTATTGGGGTACAGAGGGTGGGTTTTTTCAGCAACAATCTTTCTCACAAGCATTTGGAAAAAAATCACATGAGCTGAGTGATGTGAACTGGGACAACATTCCAATGGGAAGTAAAGGATCTACACCCTTCCTGCTTCTTGTTTTGTTGATGGAAGATCCTATGAGCCCTTGTCTGTTTGTCTTCCAGGCAGGAGGAGAAGCTGATGACTGCACACCTGTGTGTGGCAAATTCCTTACCAGATGCCTCAAGGAAAGGCACTTGATTGATATCCTTGATGTAGTCTAAGACGGAGGACTGAAAGCTACCATATTTTCCAGCCAAGTATCTCCACATCATGCTGAAATTTGAAGAGTAGCTTAGATTTGTGGAATGTACGTGTCTGCCAAAATGTAGAGTTTGGCAGAGTACAGCTCGAGACCAGCAGACGTGCTCTGACAATGGGTCTCTGGAGCTCAGGGGCCTGAATTCAGTCATTCTTCTACTTGGTGGTAGCAGGGTTCATGTTCCACATTTGACTTATGGTCAATATCAAATTGAAAATGTGGATTCTGATTAAGAGGCAACATTGTTATGACAAAGACCTTAGTTTCTGTTCCTTAGATTCTTAGCTTTGTTCCTTCCATTAAGAGTGCTAATACTGCTTCTGAAACACAGCAGGACCCAGTGGGGTCCTCCTGGATACAAACCCTTTCTGTGTCCCCCATTTCTTGTTGGTAGGAAACAGGCTTCATTCAGCTCCCTTGACCCTCCCTGAGCTCCAGTTGCTAATCAGGGAAGGGAGGGAACGCAGAGACTAGAGAGGATCAATCTGGAAACAACAGTGCAGCCTTGGGGCAGAGTCCTGGCTCCTCCTCAAGGAACACACAGAACACTGTGTCTTTGGGTTCTTCTGCAAGAACTAAGACCCCCACCCAGGTGGAGGATGCCAATTTCAGACTGAGCACAGGATTCCTGGAGGCCTGCCCTGTTACCTCCCCACCAGCCAATCCGAAGACAATCTGCACACCCTTGTAGCCCTCACCCCAAACTTTGCCTATAAAAACTTCCTCTCTTTGAAAACCATCAGGGAGTTTGGGATGTTTGAGCATGAGCCACCTGTTCTCCTCACTTGGCCCTACAATAAACCTTTCTCTGCTCCCAACTCCTACGTTTCAGGTTTTTTGGCCCCTCTATGCATTGGGCACACAAAGTTTTGTTTGGTGACATCTCTGGGTAACTAACTTAAGAGTTTTCACTTCCCAGGTCTATAAAACTAGTTAGTGTCACATGGTAGCTACAACACAGGATGACTGTTCCCAGTGCTCTTCTCTCCCCATGGACTTAAAGGAGGGGAGTCTTCAAAGGCTGGAGAGCTCTCGTTGTTCCAGAGACTTGTCCCAGCACAAAACCCTCTCACCCAATGGAGCCAATTTCTACTGTCTCTGCTGAAATCAGTGCGTCTTCTTTTATGTTTGCGTGGCTGCACACCCCGAAAGGGGCTCAATTCTCTGAAGTAGAGGTTGCATTAGAAGAACATTTCAAGATTTGTTTTTTGGTTGTTGGTTATTTTTTCTCCTAGGAAACACTTTTTTTAAGGCACCAAGAAATTCAGGCTTTTCTAGAAGAAATTCATTCCAACTTGACAAATTGAGTGACATCCTTGGATTTCTTCCCCTAGATGCTGACATTCACTTTAATGCCACTCGTCTGTGACTCCATATGGATTCTCCACACTGGAGACCAAAGGTAGGTCGACATTAGTCTGAAAATCAGTGTTAAATCAGGCAACTGCGTGAGCTTTAGAACCATCTCTCGGGCCATTAGAGGCAAAGTCTTTGGGGAACTAGTGAAACTTAATGATGATTTTATGTTGGCTATTGTCCTCAAGTTCATAAAATATATCTTTGCTTTAAGATAATTCCAATATTGTGTGTATTCTTTGTTTTTTCAGTCACTTAAAGCTCACAAAGGAGAGTGATTGATATTCATAGATTTTCAGTTATCAGCAACTAAAAAAATCCTGCCCCATATCTTGCCTCCTGAGTCAAAGAATGACAAATACTCTTTCGAAGTTAATGAATGGCCTCTCTTATCAATAGAACGCTAAATGAAAATTAGGACCAAAAGAGGAGATCTTTCTTACTGCTCATGATAGTGATTGGGGAGAAAAACAAAGTCAGACCCTAAGTTTTCAATTATGCACCTCTACTGTTCTGTCACATCTCCCACTGGTGACTGAAATTGTCTGCTGACAGGATTTCCAACCATCTGTCCAGCAACCCGCTCCATCCACCTCCAGACAAACCTAAGTGACAGAGTTACTT